TCTACTTAACAAATTAAAAAAGCCCAGAAAGACAAAGTGAATAGGTACATAAGAAATAGGATGAGAATCCACATATTTTTGAGTCCTAATCACAATTATTTCCACAAAACATACTGCTTTGTCTTTAAAGATGTTTAACATATGTATTATATTATACTATACATATAAAATTATATATGCATGTAATTCTGTATTCATAGTTTAACTGATCTAAGACTAATATTATCAATAATGCCTTTGCAATAAATGGACAATTATTCTGTTCATCTAGATAATTTAATGGCTTGCCCATGTTCTAAAAACCACTTATTAATAAAAATTTGAGCTTACTACCCTCAAAAGAGTAACAGTCTTCAAAAAATTATAATCACATAGCACTCATAGATTTGCCTTTAATAACTAAAAAGTCTGCAAAGAAATACACCTAGATTAAAAATATTATTTTTAGATAGATAAGGTTCAGTTCTAACAGAAAGCAACATTGTAATATGTTGGTTTTGACAAAATACAGTTCTTAATAATTTTATACATATTTTCAATTGTAAATGATTTAAGATTGCTTCTTTTTATGCCAAGATCTTTTATGATATATCTATATGAAGTTGTTCTGGTATCTTGATGATACCTTTTAGATACAGAGCTATTCTGAAACATACACTTATACATAGCTAAGAAAAAGCTTTATCCTAAGGTTTAGAAATTTAGTATTAAATTTAATATTAAATTAAATTTCACTTTTATTTCTAGTTATGACTACAGTGTCTAATAAATTTCCTAAATTATATTTGTTGAATGAATAATTCTCCTTTATCTCTCGACATTTTTTATAGGGCAACTTAATTTATCATATACAATATGTAATATACATACAATTAGCAAATATAAGTAAGTTTAAAGTTTAAATCACACATATACAGTTACAAGAAGTGTTTCAAATGACAAATATAATTTTGAACCTTTTAGAGTTTACTAAATATAATCACTAGTACTAAAGGAATATATTACCAAGCCTACATACATGGTGGTAAATATAAATAACTAAATAAGACTGGTATTACTTACTAATCAACTTAGAAAAATATTTGAATTAAAAATTTGCTATTCATTGTCTACGTGCACATGTAGTAGACTCAGTGTAATATAATTCACTACAGATGAGAAGTTAAGTCAGATATGTGACATGCAATCTCTTATTAGCATAATAAAAATAGCAACTAGATGTTATTTGTTCACTTGCAGTCCTTTGTTAAGTACTAATATTACTATAAATATTGAAGTCAAAATTATTTTTTTCTTTATGAAACCTGTGTTCCAAAGTAAAAGTGTCTAATATGCAATGGTATATTGTAGAAAAAGATTATTTTTAATAATATTGCATAACCATGTAAGTTATTTTCAGTATTTAAACCATCTATGATTATGCTTATCAAGTACCAAACCAAAGGTTGCTAGAACATTTTCTCTCAAAAACAAAGACTGTTAGATTTATTCTAAGAAATTAAAGCAAATTCAAGATCCTATGTTGCAATAATGTATGACACTAACATTTTATTACAAACAACTGTGTACATATATATCTTGCCATTTTATACAATATGTGTTTACCCAGAGAGATCAGGTTGGCCTCCTACAGTTTATAGGGCCAGATGTGTTCTGAAATTACTTAAATTGACTACAATAAAACATATTGCTAAAATTAGAACATTATTCTCTTTCCCAAGTAAAATTATATGCACTATGCCTGAAGAAAATAATGAAGAAAGTAATGTTTAAAAAGATTGAGAGTTTAAGATTATAATCTTCTCTAAACCTCTGCCCACAAAACCAGTATGACAATATGGGGTTAGGTTTTGGGCAAACACCAGTGGGTACATATGTTTTTCTCTATACAACAAAGAAAACACATTAGAGACTCAGATTTCACTCTGCTCTTAGAGGAAAGGAAACTCAATGTGTTTTTTCAAGGAAACTTTGGAAACTTACGCTGAAAATTAGAAATGATCTTCTGGATCAATAAATCAGAAAAAGTCATCTTTATTAATAAGATAATTATCAAGTTAAAATATAACAAAGACATATTTGAAATTACTAGCTTAGGCAAATCAGAAATTATGCCTTACCTACAATTCATTTTACATTTAATAACTGCTAAATAGAAACATTTAGAGAACAAAGCTATTCTGGAAACAAAAAGAAAGCTTCATAGACTAGACCACTGAGTTATATACAATGGGGTAAACACATGCTCAATTGTCTTTTTCATTAATAATAAGAAAGCCACAAAGTGCTGTGAGGTGTTGATATTATAATGCAAAAATTGATTTAAAATTGAATCAAGCAGATTTTGTATAATATAAAATTCTGAAATTCTAGAAAACCAAATTCCTTTAAAATGTACATGATTGATATATGAAATTAGAGCAAACTCATCTTGACATGAAAAATAAAGTCTTACTGCATACTTGTGCTGATATGACTGTGTAGTGTACTTTCCAGTATAAACCAGTTTCACACTTACTTAGTGGTTTGTGTTATGAAAAGGAAAACGATGTAACTGCTTTTACGTTATATTGCTGCACTTTTCTTCTTGTCTCTCTCCTGCTCAAAGCTCCTTCTCCAGTTTTTGTAACTGGATTTCAACAATGGTATAATCCACCAAGTTTGCCTCCTATTAAGCACTAAACATCTACACTTTCATTTCAGTGTATCATGGACCAGGTGTGGTACACACCTGTAATCACAACACTCATCAAACTAAGGCAGAAAGATGATTTCAAGTCCAGCCTGGCTACATATTAGATTCTAGGCCAATCTATACTACATAGTGAGTGAGACCCTGTCTTAAACAAACCAACCAACCAACCAACCAAAACTCTATAACAAACCAAAGGATCAAAAACACTGCTCTTCTTTCTTTCTTTTTCCCCTTTTGCACTGTCTTTTTTGTTCTTCTGTACCTTTTGTCTTGTATGTAAGTTTATCTGATTTGGGGAAGGAAAGAGGAAAGCACAGAAATGGTAGGACAAAGGGTGAACTAATTCAGCAGTGATACTCACTAGGCACTATGTTAAAAATGAAGTACACAATTTGTGGGAGAGGGGAGTTGGGAGGGAAAAGACAGGGAAAAAGAGGGAAGAGGTACCACTGTTCAAGAAACAGTACTACAGGGGCTGGGAAGGTGGCTCAGTGGTAGAGCGCTTACTTTGCATGCCTGAGGCCCTGGGTTCGATTCCTCAGCACCACATAAGCAAAAAGAAAAAAGCCGGAAGTGGCGCTGTGGCTCAAGTGGTAGAGTGCTAGCCTTGAGCTGAAGGGCTGAGGGACAGCGCCCAGGCCTAGAGTTCAGGCCCTACGACCGGACCCAAAAAACCCCCCAAAAAACAAGAACAAAAAAAACCCAGTACTACTCATTACCTGACTTATGTAGCTGCAATACCTTTTGTACATCACCTTTACAATAACAATAAAAAAATTAAAAAAGGAAGAGTTTTGCATTTTTTTTCTCTAATGATTCATTATCGGTAAAAGAACTACAATTGTCTCTTTTCATTCATCTTCAGACTCTACTGCTAGAAAAGATACAAAGTAAATTCATGCTCAAACTTCTAAAAGGAAATCTAAGTTCCATTCATCTAGTTATAAAGAACTCTCAAACTAAATAAAACACTCTTAGAGTTAGTGAACACAAATTAAAGATGACTTAGAAATCAATTTGTTTGATAATAACTTACCAGTATATCAAGTTATGTAAGAAGGTAAATTGGTAAAACACAATGAAATAAAGCAAACATACATGATCAAAATTTTTTTAGGAATAGTGAAAAAAAAGACTATACTACTAAAGGGAGTATCTACAAAAATATACATATTTTACCTGTCATCATCTTGTGAGAATCTCCTTTGTAAGTCCTCTTTGCTCCACTGTTCTTTTTCTTTCCCTTGCTCAGGTATATCTTGTGGTTTTTCCTCGTCTCCTGATTCTCTGTTTTTCTCCTTATTACATGTTTTTATAATCTCTGTCCCTTTCTCATTCTCATTAATGCTCTCATCTTTTACCTCTGAGTCCTTATGAACTATCTCTTCATGTTCATCCCCTTCTTTCCCTCCCTCTTCTATTCCCTTTGGCCTTTGAATGCAACACAAATGGAAGGCATGCAAATAAATACAAAAGAAGGAAAAAAAGTCAAGAAAACATGCACATGAATTTAAACAGAACAGCAATGAAAACTATTAAAAACAAATATATGTTATAAGTTATGTCATAAGTTATAAGTGTGAAAACATTTTTTACTATCTGTCAGAGAAGCACTAGGGGTATACAATAATCACACAGCTTCAATTCTTACATTCCTTTTCCAAAATTATTTGGAAAATAGGCAAAACTATGATCTCTGTTATAGATATTTAAGTCAAGTAGCGATAAAAAAAAACAATAAGGACAAGTGAGAAATATAAATTATACTAATTTATATACTTTATATGTTTTTCAGAAGCTGAGAAAACTTTCCATACACTTAATGATTTCAGAGATCATCCTAGTAAAAAATACATTTAAAACTAGGAGATAACACTTTCTATACACTTATAGATAAGAGATCACCCTACTAAAAATATTCTTGTTTTCTAAATCATTGAGATACATTCAGCTCAGAAAAACTCCTCCAAAATATTATTTAGGTATTTTTTAGAACACTAAGAAGTTTACAACCTTACTTAACCATCACTTAAATTTTAGCAAGGATGTAATAATGGTAGTTAAGTCTTTAAATTGCAAACATAAAATAACAATATTATTCCAAGTAATCTAGTACACAAAATTTATGGCAACAAATCTGAACTGTGCATCAAAATAACAATAAAAAAGAAACATGTACAGAAGAGCCTACTACATTAGTGATATATTTTAAACCTTTTAAAAATAATGGGTTTGATGTTTATCCCAAGAAAAGGAAAGGCCCAGAATATATTTAACATTTTACTGCGAAACTCTCCTTACTCACCTGATTTTCTTGTTTCCTCTTGGCCGTTCTGACTGGACAGACATGTAGCTTGTGCTGCTGAAACGAGAAGCACTACTAGTCCTTGAAACCGCAGATATATCACTTACATCACTGTCCGAAGATTTAGTGGAAATATTATCTGCCCCTCTATGAGGATCCCATCCTGATCGATACTGTTAACACAGATGGACAAATACGCAGAAGTTGTCAGTATAACCACACAAAGCAGTCATTAGCTTTCTCCTATTTCAGCACTTTAATTGTCCACAGAGGATACTGCAATATCTCATTCAGTTGCATATAAACCAAAAGTGAATGGTAATTATCCTAAAAGAAAAATTCAATTTATGTGAAACCCTTGTTTTTAGCAAAGTAATTAGACCATTTTCACCACACCCCAAAGAAGGCCATTAAAGTAGTTTCAAAACAGCATGGCCACAGGGAAGAACATTTAGGTAAAATCTGGGAAATAAAATTTTGGCTTAATATTAGGAAGTTCAATTTTTAAATTTCTGAATAAATTTATAAAAAACTACAATGAGTTGCCACTTTAACTTATAAAAACCAATTCTAGTAGCCATTGATTTTTCTCTTTAATCCATTATGCTTCACTGAAAACCTAGAGATGACACAAAATCTAATTGTTAAACCGCTGTCTTTTTAGAATAACTAAGATAAAAGAGAAAGTTTAAATTCTGAACAGTTGCTGGAATTTTGATGGATCCTAGAAATACTAGAAGTCATTATTATTTATAATAGTTCAAACTTCCTGGAACTGAAATAATCAGTTAACTGGCACAGCCAGGGTTGCAGGGTATTCTTGGGTGCTCAAGTGTTCTGGTAAATTGAAAACAATACAAACATTTCATGTTAATAACCTATTCTCATAAAATACATTTAATGTAAAAACTAATGGACAAAACTTAATTTTATTATTGACAACCAAAGAACATTTGCCAGGAGTCTTCAAGCTGGAATGTAAAAAGAATAGACTTGGAGCCTAGAAAACCTAGAGCAAAGAAAACTTTTACTACCTGGGGAAAGGCAAGTAAATTATTTAACCTTTAAAAGCTTATTGCTCAAGAAATGTACTCACTACCTTACTTATGTAACTGTAATCCTTCTGAAATTAACCATGACAAGAAAATTAAAATTAAAAACAAATTTTTAAAAAAGCTTATTGTGGGCTGGGAAGGTGGCTCAGTGGTAGAGCGCTTGCCTTGCATGCATGAGCTCTTGGGTTCAGTTCCTCAGCACCACATAAACAGAAAAAGCCGGAAGTGGTGCTATGGCTCAAGTGGTAGAGCGCTGGCCTTGAGCTGAAGAGCTGAAGGACAGCGCCTAGGCCCAGAGTTAAGGCCCCATGACTGACAAAAAAAAAAAAAAAGCTTATTGTAAAGTAGTAAGATTAATACCTTCACTGTATATTTGTTTTGAAACTATGTGTTATATCTAACATAAATTAATGAAACCATTATTAATACTATCATGTCATTGCTATCTAGTGGTATAACTAAATTTGTAGTTCTGAATAAACATCAAATATGGCTATTACTGAGTATAATATTTAATTGATTTTTCTTTACTTATATGCATATTAAGCAAAATTTTGAAATGCCTTTATCCAGACAATTTTTGGAAACTTATCACATATACTGATATATTCCACAAATCCTTGAAATAATGATTAGCTTATATAACCTACTTGCTGTGATTTTAATAAGTGTTATCTCATAACCAGTCTTCCAGGAGTAACAGTTCAGTGTAAGTGTTAGACAGAAAGAAACATTTTGGTCAAGATAGACTGATGGGTAATAGACTACAATTTAAGTATCAAATCATATTTAAATGATTTGTTGCTTTCTTTCCTGTGGATCTCCTTGAATCTAGTTATATATTTCTATGTTAATAACTGACTATTTTCTTTACCTGTAAAAAAAAAGGATCATTGCTAAGGCTCCATAAAATTTCAAGTAATGAAACTTATTTAAAAAAATGCACATGTGGTAACTGGCCTTTCTTAGTCTACTTTACTCTTCAACTTTGTTAGATAAACCTTTAATTATTAAAAAAAAAATACTTCCCAAGCTTGTTCCTTTTCCTAGGAAATACCTAAGTAATAAAATGATAGTGTGTGCTTTGGAAGGGAACATTATTTAACTACATCACATTAATTAATAATTTAATATTAATAACTTAATAGTTAATATTAATAATTTTTCAAATAATGATTTTAAAATATAAGTGAATTTACATAACTCATTAGTGTGGAAATGGTCTTTGGTGGCGAATCAAAGATTACATATTTTATCTATTTACTTAGTATACGCACACATATACAATAGATTGGTTGTTTATACATTTTTCTTAAAATTATTCAAATTAAATTTGATCTTAAATTCAGACATATATGGATATCTTTCATTTTATTTTTATATATATTTTTGGATATTTCATTTATATAAAAACCAAAGGCTTAAAATGTTCAATGTATTTGGTGAACTTTCTCACTCTTCAAATTTATGATTAAAAAAAGAAGCTATCTTCTATTTCTTGAAAATAAAACTTCATAACTAGAAAGAAAATCACTTCTGATATTATATTTCTTATTTACTTGTGCTTGTTAGGCTATTATATCATCTAAATTCAACTGACTAACTTTAAGTTTTAACTCTAGGAGGCAGCAGAATAATAATGTAGTAATTAAGAGCTAATGTTCCTGAGTGAGAATATTATTGGCTAAATAAATTATCATGTTTTCTTGGGCCAGTTGCTTCTGTGAATATCTCGGTTTTCATCTGTTAAGATATGGAAAACCTTACAATTTTCTTAGGATTACTACAAGTACTAAACACAAAAATATAGGTATATGCACAATATTTGACACATAGCAAATGTAGTAGCAAATTATGGCAATGATGATGTGGCAGTGGTAATGATCAGACAATAGTTGTTTTTGTCAATTCCAGGAGTATATTAGCTAAAAATATATTTGATAGAAATATCCAACACTAAAAATAATATGACTGAAGCTAAAATAAAAATTATATCTCTACACATATCTAAAAGATTTGTTCCAAAAATATTCTTCTAAAACAAAACTAAACTCTTTTTTTTTTTTTTGTCGGTCCTGGGGCTTGAACTCTGGGCCTGAGCGCTGTCCCTCAGCTCTTCAGCTCAAGGATAGCCCTCTACCACTTGAGCTACAGCGCCACTTCCAAAACTAAACTCTTAAAGCCAAGTGTGCCTCTGATTTCCAATTACTTCTGGCGTCACCATCCTCATTTGGTCCGATTTTTCCATATTCTATAACCTTACAAGGAAATATGGATTCCCAACTAAAGGACAAGACTAAATTCTTCTCAATAGGAAATATGTATATGCCTTTTCTGGACTGGTGTAGACTATGCCTCATTTTAAATGTATACTCCAATACCTTCCCCCAAATATCCTCCAAATATTCTGATTGGTTCTTGTCTTATTTGCTTCATCTTCATTTCTGTATCTTAACTACATAACTAACTTCTTTCTTTCTTTCTTTCTTTCTTTCTTTCTTTCTTTCTTTCTTTCTTTCTTTCTTTCTTTCTTTTCTTTCTTTCTTTCTTTCTCTCTCTCTCTTTCTTCCTTTTTCTTGCTTTCCTTTCTTTCTTTGTTCCTTCCTTCCTTTCTTTTTTCTCCTCTCTCCTCCCTTCCCTTCCCATCCCCTTCTCCTTTATCTCCCCCCTTCCCTTCCCTTCTCTTTGCTTCCCTTCCTTCCCCACCCCCCTCTTGCTCTCTCTTTTTTCTATTTTCCTTTTGGTGTGGTCCTGGGGCTTGAACTAGGGGCCTGGCCACTCTCCCTGAGCTTTTTGTGCATTCTACCACTTAAGCCACAGCTCCACTTCCAGCTTTTGTTTTTGGTGTTTAATTGGGGATGAGTCACATGGACTTTCCTGCCAGGGCTGGCTTTGAATTGATCTCAGCTTCCTGTAGCTAGGGTTATAGGCATGAGCCACCATGCCCAGTTCTACTTACTTAACTTTAAATTTCAGTAGTCAAAACTAAACTCTGCCTAATGTAGACTTTAACATTGTAGGTCTGTCATAACTTTCAATCCTGTACTTGTGATTCTTTGATGCACATAAGCTAATTTACAGTTTAAGTGTTCGTATAGTTTGTTACACATTTGTGAGTACAGTGTGCATTGCATATATCTTTAAATGAGTTCCCAAAAAAATTTGTTTGTTGAGCTAAAATTTTAGAATTGTAAAATTTAAGGAAAGATAAGAGCTCTCAGATTATAACTATGTAATTTATCACATACTATATCTTTTTATAGGGATCTGTAGGAATATATTTGTATGTGTGTAAATGTGTTAATGCTTAATTTTAAAGCCTATAAAATTACAAACTATGCTTTCTTATGTTCATATCTATCTTAAACCTAAAAGTCAGATTTAAGTGTCTGCTGCTTAGCCATCTTTTGAATAAGTTAAAGATAGCTTCCCTCTTAAGGACTTTTCAGAAATGTATTTTCAAAATGTTTAGAAGTATCCTTAACAATTAGCAGCTTCTTTTCCAGTGCCTAAGCCATAAAACCATTAAACTCATATTGAATGGAGTGTGTTGTATACAGAAAGAAAAGTTCTAATTTAATGATATTCTGCTATCTCCGGAAGTCCTGCACCAAAAACACTTTCCTGTTAACTTCTAAGCAACTGAGCATGTTTGCCAAAGGGACAGCTCAGACTTGCACTACACAAAGATATGTGATAATCTGAATGGGAAATCTGGAAAGTGAGAAAGAATATAAAAATATTTGAATAAAGAAAATTTGGAAAACTATACTTTGAACATGTCAAGAATAAAACATCTTCACATTTACTATCCCCCAGAAAAGTAATAATTAATTAAAGCAATGTTTCAGTATATTTTCACACTTAATAAGTATACCAAAGTTGTAAATGTTAGCTATAAAATAAACTATATTATTATACAAAAGAAAATAAATTACTATTATAAGAAAGTTATAAACTATGAGTGTGAATAAGTGAATTCATTCAAGAAATAACTGTTGTTACTTTGGCACTCCACAGTAAATGTTTTAATTAGAATACACTAGGAAACAGCTGTAAGATGAACAATAAATGATGTGCTCACTGTTCTCTTACAGGAAAAAAAACAACAAAGAAGA